AAATTTTATAACATTTGAGGCAGTAACAGTACAGTTGTATACACTTAAAATTAAATCGATTCAAGATATTTCGGAAGTAAATCAATAAATAATAGATGGAGTATAACAAACAACGAGTGAGCAAATGATTTTACAGATAAAAACATAAATATATACATCCAGTTTTTCTTTGAGTGATAGAAATGTTGTTAGAACTACATCGTAATTATACCCTAAAGGAAATTACGATAGAACTTTTAAAGAAAATTATTGAGTTTAACAAAAAATGATGCTAACACAATATGGTTAATAACATCACAGTCATCATTTAACCAAATGAATATCCTTATAACATAATACTTAACAATATTTAAGATTTAATCATATACATATTTCATCATATTTTGTTTACTCTTATGTTATTTTTTCTTTACTTTGCTGAACAAAAACACTTCACTATTCAGTAATTAATTTTCGCATTGAAGCGGAAAACTAAGCATATGGTTCTTTCTAAATCATATATATACATATATGACAGAAATTATGTATACTTTATTTTTATGGCTGATAAACTAGTTCTTATATAATCATATGCTCGACATGTTTAGGTGTAAGATGATCTCAAATAGTTAATAAAGATGAGCATGATGAAATATTTCAGTGATTCACTACTTCCAAACTTAAATATGTCGAAGTATTGAATGATACTATATGAGTACATTTATTGTTTAACTGAAAATATACATTTATATCATGATATTAATAAAGTGATATATTTGTAATATCCTAAATGATTAGAAAAATTAGATCTTCGGATGTTTCATGACTTAATGTAAGCCACTTCTTGTGTTGGTCGTGTGTACTATTTAAACTTTAATTAATTTTGATGTGGTTATTTATTCTCTGAGGAAGTCGCTTACATTGAGTCACAAAACATCAGAAAATTTAATTTTTCTACTCATTCGGGATACTACGAATATATTATTTTTATTTATAACAATCTACTCAGTACTCAATTTATTCGAAATTATCAAATCAAATCTTGATAATGACACTTACATTATGATATGCAATACGATTCAATGATTTTAAAACAAGAGTTTACTTACAAACTCAAATAAACAAAATTTCACATCAGATTTTTCAATTCAGTTTTACTTTCATTTTCAATGAAAAAAACAAACAATCATTAAACTTGTTTGGTGTCAGTTGAATATTATTATTTATCATGAAAATTTCCTTTCTGACATTTGGTAAACGAAGAAGGACCGAATTGAGCGAAGAAATTTCTTTTCAATAAGTTTTTCATCTACTATATTCCATCAAATATACCACATGGTTTACGAGTGCATCTATTGCACATTGCTGAAGTCATCGCAATCCATGTTCACAAATGTAACCTTTGCATCCAAAAGAAATTTGTACAACCACTTTCGCTACCTTCGTCATTGATATATAAGCGCTTGTAGTAGAGCTATTTTCGTACTTCTTCGATTTTGCTTTTGTTTTTTTGAACTTTTTATTTTTTCTCAACATTCATCTCTTGATTGTTACATAACTACTATTCTACTGACCATTCATTAACATATTCTGGTACTTCTCTTTTTCATATGTTATGCAACGTAGCAATTTCTTGATTTTCGAATAATTACTGTGATGACCATGGCCATGATGATGAAAAAATTAATTGGAAAGAAATTTCTTCGCTCGATTCAGTCCTTCTTTATTATTAGGCAAATGTCAAAATGGGAATTTTCACTATATTGTCTGGCTGGTTCATTTCGACTTGTTTAGGCTACATATTGGATAAAAGTTGAAAATTTTATTAACTAAAGTTACATTAAGAAAATAATTAAAACAACAAAATGTGATCAATAAACAATTTTCTTTAAAAATAATAATTCAAACAAACTTTTCAACAAAATTCCTATTTTGAAATGTATCATTTCGAAGCATAAGATGCCATTACATAATCAACCTATCTGTTTACCTATAATGTCAGGGATAATTTTAACATGCAATATTAATTCAAAGGGGAATTTTTAGGAAGAATTTGCAACAGGTGAAAATTCACTAGAATTCTAGCGTCAAGAACATAAACTATTGAGTTATTGTTTATAGGTTCAATTGTATCTTACATAAATTGAAATCATAAAAGAAAGTATGTTTTCAGTTGTGCAAATGAACGGATCTTGAGCAAACATCTATAAACTTAATGAGTTTTGATGAAGGTATCTATTTTAAAAAGATTCTGTTATTGATCTTTTTTCACCCTGATGATATCTATTGAATATTGTTATTTATCAGTTAGTTATTAAAATAAGAAAACTACAATACACATCTTCTTTGTAACTACTGTTTTGTTACTAAGAAAACACAAAAGAAAGAACATTTTTTTAAACCTTCTTAATCAATGTAAAACACCTTTTTTCTAAAAAAAAACAACCTATTTCTTTGAAGATATTCGTTTATTGACTTATCCTGTCGGTATTTTATCTATTTATATTTTAATATTGAATTATAGAATGAAGCGAATTTTCCTTTAAAATGAATTTTGGCATGTGGTTTGTTAAAATTTCAAGAACAAAATAAAAAGAGAAACTATAAAGAGAATAAACAAAATTGAAAATTGAAAATTGAATCCGGCAATAGAATTAATGTCTATTTAAACAAATAAATTTCAATTAATAATCTTTTCTTACTTTAAAAAAAATTTTTTTAATCAAATATTGTTGCCATCGTTATTTTTATTCATTGTGTACATATTTAATGTTCATTTTATCACATAATACTTATGATAGATCATTTTCTGGGGAAGGATGCTTTTCACTATTTAGTATGACAGAATCAAATTAAAATTACTATTACATAAAAATAGATCTGCATATGTAAAGAAATGAATCTGAGTGAATAATTCAAAGGAAAAAAATAATCATCACTTCAAAAGGTAATTTTCAAAGTTCAGATTATAAGCCATGAACAGTGAAGTTAATCTGTGTCGAATGTGAGACAGTTACCCACCGAAGACAATGGGAGATAGTCGCGCAATTTCGTGGATTGGTTGACGTTAGACGTCAACACTGTTAGATCTCGGGTCATTGGTATAAAGGTTAAGCGTTCGCGCGCGAGACCAAATGTCCTGTGTTTGAATACCGTGAGCGGGATCGTGGATGTGCAATACTGAGGAATCTCATACTAGGATGGCTTAATAGTGACTGATCAATGATCTCAATCAATAATTCAGATCACGTTCAATTGAAATGTAATGTTTTCATCATCGGTAATCACAAATTGTTCATTATATGTTTGCAAATTCTAGTTGATACTCACCAGTTATCATTTGCAGATTTTAGAATATTTCACGTATATTATTAAATACTGTAACTAATTAGTATTGTACACTCGAATTGAAATTTTCTTTTAAGGTAAAACAATTATACGTTTTTAATAGTGTGGGTCACGAACTGATCCTAGCTAGATCATCAATGGAAACCAGGAAGCACTGAGCATATGTTTTCTCTCCGTTTTGGACTCCTTAACAGTGAATATCTACAACCTTGTACAAAGCAATCGCGCCTAAAACATTTGGGACTTAATACATGAAAGTTGTACAGCTTCCACAAATTTCAAGTACTGGTTGCAAGGAGTTTGTTGGATAGAATAGTCAATATGAAATTTTGTGATATTTATTGGGAATGTTATAAAATGTATCGAAAACTCAGAGATAATTAGGCTAATAAAATTTATGAATTAACTAGTTTATCCGAAATTTGACGCATTCAGTTGCTAGTCGTGTATGTTGTATATTTTAAGACCTTACATATAAATTGTTTAACCAGAAATCTATAATTCATTTAAAGTGTTTTTACATGCAGACCGTTTTGTAGATGCAATCGATATCAAATTTTTCCAGCCTGACCTATATATACAAAAGGAAAGTGTGATTGACCTTTCTCTCCTACGGTGACTGAATGTTTCATCAAACAAGCTTTATTAACATTTTTCAATCATCTAGTATATTTTGCCTTCTAATATCAAACTCTTATTTCTTAATATGTTTAAGGATTATATAATTATTCATTAATTTCATTATCCATACATAACCTTTTTTATCTTGATTACAATTAGTAACTATAACATATATACTACCATGTATTACTTCTTTCCAACGTAAATACATATCGATCTTAGCTAGGTTTATTTATACACTTTGTGCCATATTTGCATTATTATAGTATTTTTGGTTCCGTTTAGAACAGTTATTCATATATCATAAACCGAGAGTGGTAAACATTTATATTTATATTAATAATTGTAAATTCATGCTATATGAGGCTAATGAGAAGCCGTAAATGGAAAAATTTCATTTCGCTCCTCAAACCATGTTGTACCTGATCTGTTTAAAGTCATACAAATAAACAAAACAAGAAATGAGGAGACAGAACTGTTTGTTGTCAAGATATATCCGGTTGTGTTGGGATAATATAAAAAGGTAATTTCTCAACACTATTGATTTCAACTTAAGGGTAAATGACTATAATTCTTCTTTGCTTGTTTTTCAAAAACCTCTTGGAAGTTTTTGAGTATCCAAGGAAAATGGTATTATTAATGAAATGTATCTTATAAACAGTGCACCGTCTTAGGGTTGTAAAGTTCGTATACATTTATTCGAGGCTTCACTTTAAAGAACATCAAAAGAAGAGACTAACTAGAGTCATACCATACATATATAAGCACGTTATTAGTTCTACATACAATTTCAACACATTTATTGTTATTTATTATTATGAACAAACTTTTAGCCACATTTCAGCAGTATCGTTTATTTGCTGTCTACCAAGATTTAACACAATAGTTACAAGTGGAGAGTGTGTCTGTAAGTAAATTCTTTTTCATTGATACACTTAATACTTGCTAAATATGTATAAATCTCACTGACAGTATATACCTGGTCTAAGCTGTTGGGCACTGACCAAAAATGATTTTAACGAATGAAACATATAACTGATGTATAAACTCACCAGTAAATGATGTATTAATTATTAGTTGGTAGAAAGCAGTTCCAGGATAGCTGAGCATTTTTTCTAGACAATCTCTTTTATTCCATTTTGGATGGAGAGGATTACCAGGGCATAGTTTTTTCTGAAGTATATGTAATCCAGAAGCAAATGCATAAACTGCGTCGTAGACAAATTGTATTTTTGCTTCTTGTTTGAAATCTGGTCCAAGAATGTCACGTAGTCTTAAATCTGGACTGTCACTACATGATGACGGTAATGATGATGTTTCACTTGATATTTCATGAGAATTTTCTAAATTTGTCTCATTTTTTGATAGCTTACTCATGAAATAACGCTTAGAATTAGTCGATTTTCTTTCTCGCCTCTTAGTTGAACTTTCTCTGCATTGTATTAAATCTTGCCAATACTCTCTGAACCAAGGATTCCTATGATTTTCTCTACCTAAAGAAAGGTAATAATCTGTGAATGCCTTAATCGGTTCGGCTTGAATTTCTATAGTTAACGCACCATTGGCTTCTCTTGAGTTATTTGATACAGGTACATTTTCTCTACCCCATCCGTCACTAGCTATCCAAACGAAATGATTAACTAAACCAGCTCTTCTAACTGCATCTAATAATAACTTTGTGTGATCCATGCCGGTAAATAAAACAACGACTCTAGCTTTTGCAAAGTCTTTGCTAAGCACATTAACTATATTATCTAAATCTTCAGGACCTGTATTTCCCCTAATCACTTCTCTGGCTGCTATGCATACACCAAGTTTATCAGCTTCTTTCCAAAATGCATCCATACCTGAATCACCATAATCACCTGCACTACGTACTGTAGAAACATAAGTCCAGTTATGAGCCGAGACTAATGTAGCCATTGCCTGAGCTTGCACAACATCCGAAGGTACAGTTCTTGCAAATAATGGGAATGCACGTTTATCGCTTAATACTGCAGTTGTTGATGCATAAGATATTTGTGGTAAAGAGAATAAACGAAATAAATTTGCTACAAGTATTGTTACTGAACTATATGAACTACCGACAACTCCACGTGTGTTTAAATTTTCTGATTGTTCATTCATTTTGTTCAATTGACTACTACTTCCAGTACTTGCTTGTACAAATTTCAATGCTTGTTCAAGTGCATGATTTGTATCTGAACATGTGTCACGTATTGTAGTACCCAAAGTTAAACCTGGTAATAAATTTGTATTATTATTAATTTCATCTAATGTAAATAACATTGCTTCAACTCGTTGAATTCCTCTTTCAGGATTAATTGATTCACAAGTAGTTACACCAGATGTATGTACAGGAAACAATCCACCAAGCATTATATCACCTGGTATACTTGCAACTGTATGTTTATCATATTTACGTTGAAAACAATTTATAATAGTAACCAAATGAAACCATAATACAATCATGAAAGTAATCAACATGACTTTATATTTCATGTTTATCAAAATAAAATGACAATCGTTACTACGTAAACGTCTTTATTTTCTTATAATGATACAAACAAAATGAGTACGACGTTATTTATCAGAATTCCTATGATCCATATTGTAACGAATTTTAAATAGAATCAATAAAATTGTTTATTTTATACAATCATTAAATACATAACCACTTTCAGCAATTAGTCAACATGTTTTGTATTCAAAACAAAATTTTTTTTAGATAAAAAAAGGATCCAATCAACTCTCAGCCTCATTCAGTATTAGTTAATATTTATATTTAAGTGGATATAATTGGTAATGGTAATGAACAGCTATTTTGAATTTTCGCCCTTTTTTAAATTAACCAATCAAAAACAAGTATAATTTTATTCAGATATTTCTAAGCAAATATGCTTATGTGAATTTCATTTTGAATAGTAAATAATATTGTTGATTTTATACTTATTTTTCATATATATATATATATATATATATATATATATATATATATATCTGTCATCTAACCGGTACTTATAAGGCTAACAGATAAAGAGTATTGTTTGATTTAAGAAATGTATTTATTGATTTTCCATCACCTTGGTAACGGATAAGGTTTACGGCTTTTCATAAAGATAATTCAGTATATACTCAATAATTTTTTTTAGAAATATTTTTCTTCATTATTTTCAGTTAATGAAATTATTTACAGTTAAAAATGCATACACTTAGAAAAACTGTTTTTTTAATTATAAAACAATGGCATAGAAATTTGAAGAATAGTAAGTTTACATAATATATTAAGTGAAGATTAATAGGTTTCAGATATATAAACGAGAATCTCAAATTTTCAACTAATCATACTTCTCTATAGCCAGATGAAACCACTGGTAATTCCCAAAAAGTTTAGATTCCTGATATAAAAATTCCCAGGCTCACATTTTTTTGACTTTGTCAATTTCAACAAATAAAATGTTTAAAACGCTTTTATATCAGAAGGGCGTTTTGTGGATATTATAGTAATTTAATAGTTGAAGTTATGAGTCAATTGAAACTAGAACACCAAGGAAAATCTGTAAGCAATGGATGGCCACTTCGTACTATTGTGGGGCTCCTGAGCAGTACGCACCCACGATCACTCGTCTCGGGGTTCGAAGCCAAGACCTCTCTTATATGTCAAAAAATATGTACCCCCACTTTGAATATGATTTATGCATTTTTAAACCATTTTTAATACTAGAGATGGTGTAACAGCCTCTTATTTGTTCCATATTATCTCATCTCTTTATTACTAACATTTTGGGTCACTTGATCTAATATTTAAATGGAGATTTTCGTTTTTGTATTTTCTTCAATACACATGTTAATCAATCAAATCCAGTTATTATTTTAAATAATATAACATGACAGCATTGTAGTTGTGAATGATAATAAGGTATCGATGTAAGTAATAAAGTTATGTTATTTTGAGTACTGTATGAAATAAAAATAGCGTTATTAAAGCGATGTGATTGCTCAGGTTGAAATTCAAGCTTAGTTGGATCAAATATTTAATGATTATTCGTTTCCATTGTTCTCCATCTATTACTATTCCATGATGAAAAGTTTCTTTGAGTTTATCGAACCACAACAAATCACAACAGTAGTCACATGACTATCAGCGACTTGATTTGTGATGGAACTTTCGAAATCATAGTGAAAACCATTCAATAACTGATCCAAAAATAAAAATAATAAAGTAATCAACCACTGATTTCATTGGATGGTAATTAAAATATATAACCAGATGACTGATATAGAGAATTACGGACCATTAGTTCTTCATTCAGAGGTTTAATTGTTTTAGTTTACGAAAAGCCCACGTATTTCCCGATATACTTTGTGTAATTCCTTATGTGAGTTTTACTTCAGCATTTCCAAATGAATTACAACAGCTATTCAGACATTCTAGGTTTTAATCTGTTCAGACCATGATAAAAATAAATATAGAAAATGTTTGCATTTTTCTTATTTTGATTTAATATTAAAATACTGTTTGCTTTAATTTAAAGAATTAGACCTGTTATATTGAGCTGAAAGAAGTAAATATATTTTATTATCATTAAAGGATAATTTTGCATGACTGTAGGAAACATTATTGACTTGAATAATAAATATTTACTGACTGATTTACATGCACATTTTTGATCAGAATCCTATTAACATCATCAGAGTATTTGGACTTAATGGTCTTTAAGATATTTTTAAATATCAATTTTGGGTTTTTGAGAGTAAATATTATTTTCACTGTTATTTAAACAGATCAATGATCATAATTAGTCACTGAGATACAAAGTTTGTATTAACAATTAGAAATAAAACTATCGTTTACCAGTTTAATTGTCATTTTATTCCGACAGTATCAAAGTTTATTAATTAGTAAATGAGTAATAAGTACAAGAATTTATGAAAGAAAAACCATTGCTTATCTACTGTAACTTACAAAATAATACATTATGATGAAGCTTCAAATGTTAATATCTCTTCCAATAACATTGCATATATACATGAATCAAATACAATGTTTGTAATCACATCATAAACCAAATACAACATTTTGATCGGTTGGTATAATCAATGAAGATCACTATTTACTTTCAAACAATTTACGTTATTAATAATAATAATAATTAATCATGAACCTAACAGTATGGCAAATAGGACTAAAATATATATGTGCCAGATTCCTTTTTGGTGTTTTGATTGATTAATTGTAAATTAATTATGAACTGTTAACTTGTTTACTTACTTCTAGGATGAAACTATAAATTAAGTAAAATAAAGGAATATTTTGTACATTTGATCAACTACAGATTAAAATCTTAAAATCATTTATTTCTACAAATTTAGGACAAAGTTAGAACACTTATTGCCTTTTGTAATAAACAATTTAATAAAGAATTAATGAATTGCAATTTAGTAAATATAATTCTATCACATAAGGAAGTTTGTTATAATAACTATTCATCTGTAATATATAAATTACCTAATTGTTTTTATTATTATTATTGTTATTCAAACTGATTTCCTTATCATTTGTTCATCACTTGATATCGTTTTTTAAATGTCATAACAACTGAACATTTAAAAAATTGTTTAGATAATTTTGTTTTCGTTTAAAAACGACATTTTACCGTTAACTTTTTAAAAGTGAAAAGAGGAAACGGAAACAATATAAGAAGAATATTAAACAAACAAAGTTTGAGGTCATTATATTGATGAACACATGAATATATTGTAAACTAATAAAAAATAACATTTGTGAATGACATAATTTTTACCCATGTTTTATTTTAGTCGACAAACCGTTTAATATTAACAAACAAGCTCTATACTTAAACAAAGATGGATAGTGGCTAGCAGTGGAATTCAGGACGCACGTTCCGTCCTATTTGAGACTCGTCAGCTGGATATACATGCATCTCAGAGTTAATGTTCACTCAGGGACTCCAACCCAGTACCGTTCGCTTCAAATGCCATCACGTTCTTCACTATCTATCATTACCTAAAAAGCTTGTGACTTTATGATATTAAGTAAGAAAGGAAGATTAATTCAGCGAAGAGTTCTCTTTTCGGAGAATTCATTTTCAAAGCTGTACAATCGCAAATATATATACTTATTTTTACAGGGTGATAATAATACTGATAATAAACTTCTGTTAGACATGGTGACAGTGAGGTTAAATAAACAAAGGTATTAGAAAAAAAAGTTTTTTTTATAAAACAAGGAAAGTAAATAATCGTTTGATAGTAAATGGCTTAAGCATTCATCGGGTAAGGATGGCTCAGCATGATAAGACAAAATGTTGAAACAGAGATGAAATGTAATCAGAAAGATCGTGGAAATAAAAACAAACCGGTTGGGGGTAGAAGATTTGAAGGGAAGATGGAAGGTGAAGCAGGTGGCTGTAAGGGAACAAGAGTATGAAGAAGGAGAAAAAATTTAATACTTTAAGACCATGGTAGAAGAAGAGGTTATACCAGTCTCTTTTGTACACATAATTCTGGTTTTTCAAAATGTATGGCTATTGCCTCGGCAATGCAAAAGAAGATACAGTCTAATTGTCTTAGGAAGGCTTCTACCTACCTTGTAGATGACTTTGAATGCAGAGTCTGTCTTGATTGAGTCACTTGTGTTTACAAGGTGTTCGATTATAGAACTTATGATAAAGCGAGATAATCTGCACAGGATGCACATATGTCAACATGAGACTGATCAATTGCAGTCCTAAATAACAATGGGAAGATACTCATTTGAATGTAATTGTCATAATTGTTTAATAATAAACAACCAAGGAATATCCAAGTAAGAAGAGAGTTCACGAAATTCAAATAGATATCCATTAACAGTGAACGATATCTAGTATAAGACATAAAACTACACTTTTTTTGCTCTATTGAGTGTGTAATGGTTAAAACTAATAAAATATTTTGAAATTCAGGAGTTCATTTACTAACAGTTCACGTTGGAAACTGATATCTATCAGATGAATATAAAAATACAAGATTTATTTTATCCTGATTTTCTTGTGGTAAAAAAATTTCCAAGACCTTTGAATGTGTTAGTAGATGACACCGTATTAGATTCCATTGAGAATATCAGTTTCTTCGATATGGAGAAAAATGTCTGATCAGTGAGTGCTAACTTAAAATCAATCTGAACATAATGCTTCAAATAATTTATCCAAACTATTCAAAAGCAAGCAAAGTTCATCATGAAGTCAAGTTAGTTAGACTAGTAGCTATAATCTAACCTCTCTAAACGAATTCGATCAGTACTAAGAACTATTGTAACTTAACTTTAGATAATACTAATCAGGCACTTAATGCCATGGAAAAATGAAAGATTGCCATGTAATTTGAATATACCTCATATAAAATTTTAGCACTTTCATCCTTCGCATTAAATATTTGATGGTTTGTATTAATAACAATATTTTAGAAGTAGAAATACATTAGTAAAATCTGAAACTAGTATT